AAAAAAAGATAAAAACAAAATTTTTTTCTTCAAAGCTTTGTATTTAAATTTTTTCATAAAACAGTCTTTATCACCTTCAAAGTTCTCTCCATTATTAATACATTTATCAAATCTGCGATTCCATTCTTGGAAACATTTTTTCAAACTCATCTGTCTGGATGGCTGATAGCACCTTCTTTGTTTTTTTATTTACCTCTTCTATGTCTTCAAATCGCTGTCCTTTCATGTCACTCTTCATTCATGGAAACAAGAAGTCACACAAAGTGAGGTCAGTTGAGTAAAGTGCATGAGGAAGGACAGTCATGCTGTTTTTTGCCAAAATCTGGCACTCTGACATGGCTGAATGAGCATGTGCATTGTTGTGGCAAAACCAGTCCCTCATCTGCCACAAATCAGGCCTATTTTTTGTCGCACACTGTTATGCAATCTTTTCAGAACTTCTAGAACAGCAGTTCTCAACCTGTGGGTCATGACCCTTTAGGGGGTCAAACGACCTTTTCACAGGGGTCACCCGATTCATAACAGTAGCAAAATAACAGTTATGGAGTAAAAACGAAAAAAATTTTATGGTTGGGGGGGTCACCACAACCTGAGGAATTGTATTAAAAGGTCACGGCATTATGAAGGTTGAGAACCACTGCTCTAAGTGGAAAGCATGATTTAACCTGGTAGAACAAACTCCAAATACACTACAAGTCAACATTTTCGTCTGTTCGTGAAGTTGATGGACATCCAGACCATCCGAGGTTTGTCCTCAATCAACAATCCCCAATCCCCCTTTTTTTCTATAATTTTATTGGGAGCTTTTATAGCTCTTATATCAATCATATAGCAATCTTATAGCAATACATCAATTGTATCCAGCACATTTCTACAATGTTGCCATCATCAACTTCAAATTATTTTCTTTCTACATGAGCCCTTGGTATCAGCTCCTCATTTCACCTTTTTTGAAACGAGAAAACCACTCATACACTTGAGTTTTTCCCATAGCGCTCCCCTTGTAACCTGTGTTCAACAACACAATAGTCGGTGACATTTTTCCCAAGCAAAAAACAAAATTTCATAGACACATGCTGTTCTCTTAAATCAGCTGTCATAAAAATGAGTTTCAAGCAAAATGGCTTTTACAAAAATAATTCATTTTGAGCAGAGAAAACCTTCCCAGGCAATTCTACTAGATGCATTAACTCAGAGAGAGGTACTTGCCTAACGGGGAGGAAATGTGTACTATGAAAACTCTGCTCCACCCAGCACAATTCTGGGTTTTTTTTTGAGGATACCCCCTCGTATAATACAAAGTTGAAGGGAGAGATGAGTATCAGAGTCTAAAATCTAAGAATCTGGTTTGAAGATGACTATAGATGACAGTGGGAGCCCAAGATTCATTGGTGGAACTATACAAGAAATAAACCTCTTGTGAATTCCCTCTATCCACAACTAAGGGATAGGAAGAATGTGGTCACTAAATGGAGAGCATTGGTAAGTTCAGTATAAAAGTTCAAACGCAGAAGCCTGACTTGAACAGTTAAATCTGGTATCCAAAATATTACGTATTGAGGGTTGTATTGTTTGTTTGGCTGGACATATTAGGGGTGATCTCAAGAGTGTTATACCTTTGGGGATCACCCACTTAAAGTTGCAGTATGTTTTTTTGTTTGTTTATTTTCATTTTGGGGGTTATGAAAACCAGGATCGATGAACCTATAGAGTCAGCAAGTAGAAAAAGGTTTTGTGGGGATGGGAAGACAGGTGGCAGTGTGAAGGGATGATGATGTCAAGGAGTCCATGTAGAAAACAGTTGTTTGGAGACAGACTGGTAGCAAATGTACAATTCTGTAGTATTAAGTTAAATTTGGTGGGGAGGGAGGGCCAGCCCCACCCGCTGCTACTACTACCCACGGGTTCAGTAAGCACAATTGTACGGTTGAGATACATAAATATTATATTAAAGTCATCGAGAGCATGAGAGATAAAAGAGATATTACAATGATGCAGTCAGACACATCACATGGTAGCATTGCTCACCTCCGCCCCGCTTGGTGGTCCTCGTGGGGGGAACCCAGCTATGATAGCAGGAGCTGCCTCGGGGACCAAGAACCGGGGAGCCTCTCCTGGCCGAGAGCCAGAGAGGGCCCCAGGAACCGGGGAGAGCCTCAGCCCCAGAGCTGGGGAGAGCCTCCTTCTTTATTGCTAACCAGCCATTATATCACTTTAGGGGGACATGATTACAGAATCACGTCACAGGAAGGGACAGTACAATAGGCATACACATTGTAGGAAGGTGTTCTATGATAGGTATAAGCGTAACAGGAAGGGATGAGCTAGGGGTGTGCCTATATGAATGGGAAGGTCTAGGGGTATACATGTGACAAGATGGGCGGACCCTAGATTCATGATGGCAGTCTAATCTTGTTCATCCTTGGGTGAGTTTGACCTCTGGTGTCTCCTACAAGAAAACAGACAACTATCCTTATCAGAAGGGAGTGGGCCCTACTTGTTTTGGGATAAACAGTGGTGTCTGCTTGGTCTAGACAGTGGATAACTCTCAGGGAGAATGACCCCCAATCCACTCTTGATGACCTCCAAGTGTACAGTCATTCTCAAGCAGCTAAGTCTGGTTTATATTTGGGGGAGACAGCTTGAGTGAAATCCTTTGGTTTCCCACACAATTCTACTGGACATGATTGAATTATAGAATGATTTGATGTGTATGTTAATCCCAATTAATAAAAAAGGAATAAAGAATGAGAATATTGGAAATTGAATACATTAGAAGTTGAATAAGCTATATTAAAAGCATTATGAGCATAACTTCTACCAGTCTCTCTTTAGCTCTTCAGCTATGTATTCTCTCAAATCAATGGATACCCTGTGTGTTAGTCTGAGTTGACTAGAGACACAACTCCAGGGAGATACTCATATGTGTATAAGAAAGAGCTTTATAGCAAAGAGCAATTGTACATAAAGAAAACACCCCAGCCCAGTCCAGGTCAAGTCCATAAGTCCAATATTAGCCCATGCATCCAATATTGGTCCATAAATTCGTCTTTAGACTCACACAACATATGCAATGACGAGGAATGCAGGAAGATCACAGGCCAGTGGGTGAAGAGTTGTGGATCCAGTGGCAGTGGCTCAGCTCAGCGCTGGCAGAGGTCTTCATGTGATTCCTTCAGCACCATGACTCTAGCTTGCCTCGTGTGTATTGTTCAAAGGAATGTATCCCAGCGAGTTGAGTAGGTGTCCTGCCTCCAGAGAGCTGTTTATCTCCTTAGCACCTACAAATGAGGCATCAAGCTGCAGCCTGATTGGCAGGATAAACTCCACCCCTTTTTGGTTTGTTTTTTAATTTTTTTGCCCTTCATTCTTTTTTTTTTTTTCTCCCCTTTCATATTTACTAATTCTGTCGACATCAGATCATGTAACTACCACACCTGTTCACCAAATAGAGTGACATTTTCTCAAGTTTCATCCCTTCAGTGTACCTGTAATGTTTCACTATTGAACATCCCTTCTTAAAATTTTGTCTTCCCTTTACTTCCATTACAACTTTCTGCTTCTCTTCTAATTCTTGTTTTTCTTAATTATCTCTTTGCCTCTAGATGTAGACTTTTCACAATAAGTCCATGTGAATTTGGCCCCAGTTATATATAATATCCCCAATTTTGGATCTTTTTCGCTACTGACATTTCTGACCTCACCTTTTCTTTAACTTCTAAGTCAACACAGCAAGTCTAAAATTGAGTTTATTTCTCCTCCAACTCTTTCTGTTTCTGATAGTAGTTATTGCACTTATAGAGTAAGGTCTATCTTTTGTTATTTTTTTCCTTCTTGATATTTTTAAATTGCAAAGATTGCCCATCATTTAAAGTTACAGCCACTATCTTCCTTGAACATTTAATCCTTTTTTCCTTAAAGCTTACTTCTACCTGATATTAAGTCAGAGAAATTATTGAATGACAATGGTTTCATGTGGTTCAACATAATACTCATATAATCTAAACTCTTTGTATTCCTTTTCTTACTTCCCTGTATGGCCTCATTTTGTTTCCTTGTACTAGCATGTTGTTGCCTTTCCTGCCTCAAACTCTACCTAATTATAAAGCATTTCTTAATCCAGTTAAACATAGCCCTTTGCACCCTTAGAAATTGTGGAGGCATTTCTGTAGTGGGACTAAAATCAGCATTTATATGGGTTGGGTTTTTGTTTTATGTTGGTTTATTTTGTTTTGTTTATATTATGCAATTAGACTTCTCTTGTAGCTCTGTCTACAAATCAAAATAACTATCTTAACTTTTTCCCCATAGTCGTTTATTTCTAGTATCTGAAATCAAGTTATACAGCTTCCTGATGCCTTATGTAAAAGGTGCAAAGCATTCTACTGAAAATATTGACTACTGAATCTAAGCCATTGTCTTCCAAAGTGCCATATTTACAGACAACAAAATTCCCATTTTCCTTGTTAGAAATTGTGAATCATCCATATAATCAGTTTAGTTTTGGTATCAGTGTCTGACTGTGTTTACCAATATTAGATTAACATTTTTTTAGACATGCCACTGAACAAACCATTAAGTTCCGTTTTCACTGTCATAGCTACGGCTACAGGTGGTTTTTTTATTTACGATGATAGGATTTCTGGATGCCCTGTGACATAGGGACTTATAAGTTATCAGAATGAGACTTAACTTTTCTTTTCCTTAATTTACTGGAATTGGAGCATATTTGGTACTTGGTAATTATTTAATTACTAGGATTTTTTTAAGCTGTACTTGATATGAGCTTGCTAATTTTTCTTTCCTTACAGAAGTAAATGAAAAGGAAACTGATAAAGAAGATGACTGTGCTGCAGAAAAAAAGAAAGCACTGCGTATTATGCAGCTAGTTTTGCATAACACATTGAGCAGTTCTACAAGGAAAGAATCAGTAACTGCTAAGAAATTTAAGTATGGTTTATGTTTCACCTTATTTTCCTTCCAAAAATAGCTTCTTGAACTCTATTTGAAACTAATTTGTTTTTAACTTTCTGAAGATAGCATTTGTCAGTATGTATCAGAAACTGAAAAAAATTACTGATCTTCACCCAGCAATTCACTATAAAAAAATCAATCCTGAAAGAAATTATTTCTGTATTTATGTATTTAGATATTTTTGCAGCATTAATTCCATTAAGTAACAGTTGGAAAGTAGTCTAAATATTCAAAAATAGTGGCCTGGCAAAATAAATATAACTATATAGTGAATATTGTGTAGCTTATATTTTAAATAGACATATTAATTTTAGGCATGGGGGGAAATGTTTATGATAAATATTTATTAAAATATATGTAGCAGAGTTAGGATAATTTTTATTTTCTTAAAATGCTTTAATTATAAAATCTATTTAAACTATATAATATGGAACATTTTTAACCTACATGGGAAGTAGATCAAAAGGTATTACTATAAAATCAGAAACCTTTATTAAATAAAAATATAAAACTATGAAGCCATGGTTTCTTGACATATCCTCGATCTAACTCTATGTACTTCTGTAAGTGGTATTTCCATCTCTAATCCTTCTCAAAAAATTCTGTACCCTTTTATTTATATGACATCAAAACAGCACTTTTGTGATCTTCCAGGGACTCAAATCAATTTCCATTCTAATGTTCTTTGAGTTTGGGGAAGAAAAAGAAGTCTAAAGGGGCAAAATCAGGGATGTAGGGTAGATGTATAAGGATTTCTAATAAAATTCACCTGGGTCAGCCCTGGCTTCCCTTAAAGAATGAACAAGTACATTGTTGGGATGGGAAAAAAAATTCCTCTGCACAGTATTTCTATCCTTCTGTTCATTAATGTAGTTTTCAATTTTTCTAAAACTTATTCATGCTATGACCCTGTGATCATCTTGTGTCCTTTAAGAAAAGTTTATTAAAATTACCACTTTGGGATCCCCCAAAACACATAATCTGATCTGATATCTCTGCCTTGAATTTAAACAACCCAGCAGATCCCTTCTGTTTTGATTGGACCTTGCTATCTAGGCCTTGTTGATAAAACCAAGATTCCTCTCTGTTATGATTCAATCCATAAAATTGTATTCGTTGGCTTCAGTCTTGCTCAAAAGACTGATAGAAAGATGTGTTCCTGGAGTTAGCTGATCTTTGCATAACATTTTGACTCATATTGAGTTGAATGCTTACTGAAACAGAGCTAATCTCTTAAAATTAAAAGGCCGGATTACGTGAGCTCCCAATTTCAGTTACTATTGCATCATTGGTAGTTCTACTAGTTTCTTCTTCCAGTTCTTGGTTTCAGCCACAGTGGTTTTTTTTTTTTTTTACAACCTACTGGCTATGTCTGAGGTTCCAGTCTTTCTACATTCTCCCCAACACTTGTTTTTTTTTTTTTTGGTTTTTTATTCAACAAAACCCTTTTTTTTTTAGGATGGGGGGGGCACACCCTAGCAAGACTAAAACATGTATACAAGTGGACGAAAGCTCAGAAAGAGAAAGCAATGCTGTATTTTTCTAACTTTTTACACAAAACAAACTTTATAGACATGCTTGAACAATATCAAGTTTCAGGCACTAAGAAGGATATATAATCAGTTTAAAAATAGCATCTGTCAGACCAACATAAGCTCTGCCAGAATTAAAATAAGAAAGACCAAATTTAGAGGGACACTTGAGTAGATATTTGGTAAAATCATTGATGTTTTATAATAAGTTCCTGGGCACCATGCCCCAAAGAAATCGATGTGAAATAGATAACTCATTTCACGAAGGGGTGAGACCGTTTGGAAGAGGAAGCCTGCAGTGACAGGCCAACCACCTCAGTTTGCTTCAAGGAAACACTGTGCCAAAATTGGAAGAGAACTGACAGCACAGAAACAACCAACACCATAAGCAGCTTGGTTCACCTTCCAAGTTAAAATTGAACATACTTTATGGGTAGCAAACTGTTGTATCCAGATCAGCTACAGACAAGATAGATCTTTCAGTGAAAATTTTAAACAAGTGAGATCAAGATCCTGAAGCATTTCTTCAAAAAATTGTAACAGAAAATGAAACATGGTTTTATTGTTATACTCCTGAAGGCAAACTATAATCAAAGAAATTATTAGCAAGAGGTATAAGTGGACCCAGTTAAAGAGACCAATCAAAGGCAAAGGCCCTGGCAATAGTTTTTTGGGAATGGTTAGTGCAATTTGTTTGTTGACTTCCTGAAGAGAGTGGTTTCTGAAAGTTAGCCAAACACAGAAGAAATAATGTCTAGGGGAAGCTTCACAGAGTCCTCCATTATGAGAACTCTGTTCCTTCTCATTCCTCTTAACAAGCAAGGGCAATTTTTTAAGCAGTTCAGTGGGATTATTATTAGGCATCCACTTTACAGTCTTGATTTGGCTCTTTCAAACTTCTTTTGATTTCCTAGCCTTTAAAGATCTTAAGGTATCCATTTTTCTTCTGTTAAAAATGTAAAGAAGAATACATATCAATACAACATCTGGGGCATTGATGTAGCAAGACCTTATTTGTCTGCCTACCAACAGCTCACCAATCATGGTGCAACCTTCTTCTGCTTCCTCAGACATGTATTTTCCAGCTTAAGCCCTCAAGTTCTAGGTGTGTATGATACTGAGTCTGATTTATCCAGTGGACTTCCACATGGGATGTCATGGGTGCAGTCTGTGGAGCATGCTGTGTGCCTTGACGGTTCATCAGTCAGTTATAGAGAAGGCTGTATGCTCCTGTAACAATGTACAGTCTTGGAAAAAATGTATAAAGTTGTTAATGGTGGGGGTGGGGGGTGAATGAGGAGTTGATATCAAGGGCTCAAGTAGAAAGAAAATGTTTTGAAAATGATAGCAACAAATGTACAAATGTGCTTGACACAATCGATGTATGTATTTGTTGTGATAAGAGCTGTATGAGCCCCCGATAAAAGTGATTAAATAAATAAATAATTTACATTGTTATGAGTTGGAATCCACTCAATGGCAGCTATTATTAGATGCCATGGAGTTAGTTCTGACACCTAACAACCCTATGTACAACCAAAGCAAACATTGCCCAGCACCATCCTTACAATTGTCACGTTCAACCCTATTGTTGCAACCATTAGTGGGTTTGGGCATATGTATTAGTATGTTTGAAATAATTTATAAAATTTTAAAAGATGCACAGAAACTCAAGATTGGAGGTATTTCTCACAGAACCTTAATATTCTTTATATATGTATGTATATAATGATTTCTACCTCCCCAAGTTAGCTGTTTATAGGATTAAAATATAATTTGTTATTAGTATTTTCAATTGTGTTCTAATTTATCTTTCATTTAATCAATTTCTTCTTAATCATAGGGACATCATACACTATGACCCAACAAAGCATGACCATGCCACTTTTGAAAGAAAGATAGATGATAAACCAAAAGAAAGGTAAATTTCAAACTACTGCTTTTAGTACTAGTAGACTTAGTGACATAGTAGGTTATGCATTCAACTGCTAACCCTAAGGTTAGCAGTTTAAATCCACCAGCCACTCTGCAAGAGAAAGAAGAGGTTTTTTGCTCCAAAGAGTTAGTTGTAAGTTGTACTCTGTCTTATAGGGATCACTATGAGTCTGAGTCGATTCATTTGCAGTGGGAAAAGCATATGAACTAATCTAAATCAGACAATGAGAAGATTAATTAGTAACCAATAGGCTAGCAATACGCCCTCATTGTATTTAATTTAAGACCAGCAGAGTAAAAAGTTAGGAACAATTGTTATGAAGGGTAAGGTGAGGCAGATGGGGGAGCTGTATCTCTTGACAAAGGAATCCCAGTGACTCTAGTAGATTGCACCCTGCTTTCATTAGTTTGCTAAGATTGCTGCAAAAAACAAGTTACTCCAGACTTTGGCTTAAAACATTTATATTGTTGTAGTTGTGGAGACTAAAAGTACACAAAGTGTTAGAAGAGCCACACCCCCTCTAGGAGGGGAGGAGAGGGATGCATACCATCCCTCTTTGGCAATCCTTGTTCTCTCTTACCTGGTGACCACAGTATTTACTCTTTGCATCTCTCTTCACACAGCCTCCTCTTCCTCTGTGCATCTCTCCTCTGTGTCACTTATAAAGACACTTTTGATTGCATTAGTGGCCATGTGACATCCTGGGCGATATTTTTTTATCCAGATCCATAACGTAATTTTATCTCCGAATACCCATTTTTCAAATAAGCTAACACTCACAGATACCAGGCATTAGCACATGGATATTTTCTCTAGGGCTGCCATTCATCCCACTACATTATTTTGTTTCAGTAGAAGCTTCCATTTCCTATAGATGTGTACTTCATTTGGTTAGTATGCCAGATATACGGAGCAACGCTTAACTTTGCCTGTCTTAATGCCTTCACTTTCCTAATGTTAATAGCAAGCAAAATCGCTGAAAGCATTGTGGTAGCCAGGATTGGTTCATGGAAAAACAGTATCGGGAGAAAATGGTGAGATCAGAATAAAGTCTTAGAATTTTAATTTCTAGTAATGTATCAATTATAAGAATTTAGTTTTACCACTTGTATCGTAACTACACATCTACTCCTTTAGCAACCTGATTACATGCCAAAGATCCAATTATTATTCAAAAGTTGTCATTATGTGATACTTCAGCAATGAAAACCACCACAGATTTAAGTTCTTTCAGAGGTAGGCCCAAGGGCTGCTCCCTCCCTTGTAGCCACTATTCAGGTTAAAAGGTTAATTTGTGCCATTTTGAGACTCTGTCAGGGTTGATAGATTCTTTGCTTTTCACGGAGACTGCCACCCACTAACCAAAGTGCTCTAAAACAAAAACCCAGTATAAGGATCGGCTGTGAATTGATGACTGCACAACCTTTTTGTGCCTTCTGCTACGTTCTGGTTGACTGGGCAGTCAGTCATAAAACAGCTTTACTGAGGTGGTGGGACAGCAACCAGCCTGCATAGTGAGGATTAAGGAAAGCCATGCACTTTAATAACCCAAGGACAAAGATCATTCAAAGTGCACAATAGTGGTCTGAGATCTAGGTATCCAACCTTTTGTGGGTTTTTTTTCTCTTAATTTTATTCACATCAAATATTGAGGAGATGGGTTGGGATGTGAGGGATCAAGGACTTAGGGCATAAGAGGTATTTTCTCACTCAAAACACATGATTCCTTACCTGGTTTTTTAGTGCTATAAGTAGACATTTTACTATTGTAAATTGGAAATGTCTAATAAAGGAGATAGTCGATAAGTGAGGGATAGATGTATGATGCTAACATTAGGGGGAAATAGGCAAAGGCATGTTTGGAACTTTGTAGAGTTTTGCAACTTTTCTGTAAATCTAAAATGACTCTAAAATTAAAACTATTTTAGAGAGAGGGGAGAGGAAAGAAGCAATTATTGCTTACAAGTTACTGAGTTTCAGTCTACAGTGATAGAAAAATTGCATTGATTAAGAGTAAGGTTACATAACTGATGAATACAATTGCTGTTAATAAGCTGTCTACTGGTTATAAAAAAATTGAATTTTCAAAAGTAGTATGATAGATATAGTTCTAACAGTCACCCTAAAACAGTCTTTTATTTGCCAAAGCAAAAGAGGAAGAGGCAGGGATAAGAGGAGGAAGTGGAATCTGTTCCTAATTGCCTCCATGATTGCTTCCTTTGTGAATTATCAAGGGGACATTGAGGGAGGGGAAAAAAATGAGGAGCTGATACTACGGGCTCAGTAGAAAGAAAATGTTTTGGAAAAGATGACAACATATGTATAGATGTGTTTGACACAATGGATATATGTATGGCTTATGATAAGAGCTATAAGAGCCCCCAATAAAATAAATTTTTTTTTAGAAAAAGAGGCAGTGGAGAATAGAATTTCAAATTCTCATGTGTTCTAGACTTAGGGAACCACAAAGATTGGATGAAGCCATAAAAGGATTGCCCTCCTGAGATAATCTTTAAACCTTAAATCAAAAATATCTTCTTTAGTCTACTTAAAAGTAAAAAATAATGTAACGTTCCTAGTAAGTAATGTCTGCTTTGAGCACGATGTTCTCCTAAGAACCTTCTATATGGGATCAAACTGACAACAACTCAAAAGATGGTTAACAGTAAGAGAGGCCAATGAATTTATTAATAGTGAAGGAATTACTTCGAAAAGAAGGATAGAATCGTTCTTGAATTCTACATGTAGAAACTATTGAATTGGTATATTTTTTGCTGTATGTAATTTCAACAGCCTCAAAAATAAATTATTTCAAAGAAAAATTACCTATTTTAAGAGAAAAATCACATTTTAGAGCAAAGTAGAAGTAATATGTTCTTTGCAATGTAGAATTTTTGTATTTTATCAGTTTTTTTTAATAGAGTATTATCCATTGCTGCATAGCAAACTGCTTAAAACAGCATCCTAAAAAACACAAACATTTATTGTCTCAAATGTAAGAGCAGCTTCATTAGATGATTCTGGTTCAGAGTCTCTTGTAAGCTTAGGTATGCCTAGGGCTTCCATCTCTGAACGCTTTCTGGGCTTAAATGACCTGCATCCAAGATGGCTTTCTCATGGCTGTTGCCAAGGAACTTCAGCTCCTCGTGTCAGAGGTCTCTCCTTTAGTTTGCTTAACTGCCATCACAGCATGGCCTCTCCAAGAGCCCTGCATAGAGAGGAGAAAGAAGTTACAAAGTATTTTATGATTTAGACTCAGAATTTATACACTGACAGATCCATATTACTCAAATTTTAAAAGAAATCCCCTAAGTTCAGCTCATACTGTGATGTGTAAGTCAACCTCCTCTTGAAGGGAGACAGGATCTCAGAATTTATGGATATATTTTGAAACCACTATAGTTCTCATTCTGGCCACAATTATTTTTGTTCCTGCCATATGCAGAATATGCACTTTCCCTACAGTTCTCAAAAGTCTTATCCCTTTGCAACATCAGCTCAAAATCTAGGATGTCCTCAGATCTACATATTGTGATATAGATGTCACCTGGTGCTACAGTCTGCAGGTTGACTGAGATGCAAAACTGTCCTAATCTGTTAAAAAATGCCACAAAGTCCAGCTTACACGGAAGGGCTTGTGGAATTAACCTCTACCACTGGCAGTAAAGAGTGTCAAAGAATTTTTGGACCCATATAAAACCAACACTTTCTGGTTCATTAATAATCCCTTGGGAGTTTATATCATAATTTTTAATTTCTATAACAGATTAATAGGAGGCATATCCATCTTAAATCATAGCCACTTTGCTTTACTTAGTGAAGTATTAAAACTTTCTCTCAATGAAATCTTGTCCATCAGTAAAAAATGCTTATTGAGTTCACTGATTGCTAAGGACCTTTGATCTGATTGTAGGAAAAAATAATTTTAATATTTAACTACCTAAAAACTTGATGATGAAAAATTTATTCTAAGCTCAAAGAAAACAACATACTAAATACAATATAGCTTTTGGTAAAAATTGATCCATTCTGTAATAGACTAGTCTTAATACATTTATACTTCATTTCTAAAACTAACGTTATAACTATAGCCTTTTATGCCCGTTTCATAAAATGCACAGAATTTTACAACTTGATGTGGTCTTTTATGTTGCCTGGTTCAGCAAATTCAAGTTATAGTTGAGTGTGTTAGTCTGGGTAAACTATATATATATAATATATGTATACACATATATACATACATACACACATATATATATATGAAAGCTTTATATAAAGGGTACATGTACATTAAGAAAGCATCCCAACCCAGTGCTCTCCAAGCCCATAAATCCAACATTAGCCCTTATGTCCGACACCCATCTAAAAAGCCCTCCTCAGTCTCACAAAACACACGCAATGATGCCAGCTGCAGGAGGAAAGCCAAATCAGTAAACATGTAAGAATCTCAACGCTGGCAGGGGCCTTCACACGGCTGCTCCAGCACCCAGGGGGTTGCAATAGGGTAAGTCCATGTAGCTTCTACTCAGGGATGTCTTCTAGGAAGTGAGCCGTGCCAGCTGAAGCAGGGAACTGGCTCAGACAGCTGCACCCTGGTCTAACCATGAGAAAGCAAGAGACTCTAGAACTAGAAAGGCGAGGCTCACGGAGCCATTTATCTCTCCTCCCTTCAGTGAATCCCGCATGTGTTTATCATACAGGTTGACACAATAAACCTTAACTATCTCAATGAGAAAACTGAAATCCTTTGATTTTAAGTGATTTTTCTACGCAAAGTTAATATGTTAAGTGTATTTCTTGAAATATGAATTAGAAGTTGAGATAGATGAATATGATTCATGTTTAATATTGAAGCTATTTGAAATAATTTTGTGTTAAAACATTGAATAGATATTATGTTTTTACTAATTGAGGGTTTTTTTTCAAATATGAATCCTCTTGGTTGTTGCATAAACGGAATTAAATTTTTTTAAAGTGTTATCCTTTCCTGGGAATTTCCCAAAAGTAACTGTTGCCTTAAGTTGCATGTGTCTATATATGTCATAACAGTAAAACAAAGCGAAAGATAAAAAGGATGGAAGGTGAAAAGCTACCTGAGGTTTCAAAAAAAATGTACTACCACGTTGCTAAGGATTTGAAAGAAAGACTCCAAACTTCAGAGGATATCAGGGAAAGAAAAGAAAACATGTCCTGGAAGGAGGACTGCGATGGAGATAAAACAGAAGTGAATAATGGCCTCACGTTTCTGAAGGACGGGGATGAGAAACCGTCCGGATTTACATTCTCCTTTTTTGATTCGGGTGCTAAAAATATGAAGGAAGGTAATTCTCTCTTGCTTTTTCACTTCAGTTTGAACCTAATACATTGTGTCCATATTAAGTGTAATAATTTATCACTTGCAGAGTAAAGGGTTCTTCCTTGCAAATGTATTAATATGTAAGTCAGTGGTCATTATCATAAATAGAATGTGCATGAAGCTATGTTTAACAAGAAAAGAAATTGTTTCTGCAAGCATCTGATTAGCTTCTGATTTTATAAAGAGAGGCTGGATAATAGTGTGTAGTGTCACCTTTTCTTAAGTAGAAATACTGATAAAGGAGTGAAATGAGCATATATTTAAATAGGATCTCATGAACGGTCAACCTAAGTCAGAATTGACTCAAAAGCAATAGGTCTTTTTTTTTTTTTTTTTATTAAATGCCATAATTTATGGACAGCCAGTGCTGCATAGGTAGGGGAAGCAAAGAAATTGTAAACATAGATGCCAGTTGTTTTTTAAAGTTTTTCCTTGGATTTTGCCAGAGCCCAAGAAAAAGAAAAAATAACTAGTACCAACAATTTTGCCTTCAGATTCAGGAGGTTCACTTCTAAAGAAACTCATCAAGGACCACAGTTTAAAAAACGCTTCTTGAAACAGGGAAAAAACAAAACAAGAAAAACATGCCTCTTTCTTACTATCCTTTTCTCATTTATAATTAATCAGAAAGAGGAACCTGATTTTACTGTCTTATGATATATTTTAGTCTTCTCCCCCTAGCAAATGTTCCAATTTATTTTGTCTGTTCTTTTTCTAATTATATATTACACATTTATAACTAAAATATCCTTACTTTTTAATATCATAATGCTTGTATTTCTTATCAGATTATTAGGAGCAATGTCAAAATATGGTAGTAGCTTTCAATAATTGGAAATTTATTAATAATATAAAAGATTTTTATAATGAAATGTATTAATAAAAATATTTTAGGGATTGCCACTTTTAAATTAATGATTACGATTTTGTAAATTTAGAGATGTGTGCCTCACGAAAATACTTTTATTATATTTGTTACACATTTCTTTACCAACTGCTACAAAGTTAGTTTAGGAAGTGTGCTGTACTGTTTTTCTTGTAGCAGCATGTTAAAAATATTAGCACAGTGCACTTATGAAAATGGCCTGGGGTGCACAGGGACTGGGAGTGTCCATTGCACGTGCTCAGAGGTTCAGTCTTCCGGCCAGGAAGGGGTGGTGCGCCTAGGTGGGTGTTACACATGGATTGGCCCATCTGGGCCAGGTGAATTCAATTTACCTAATGGGGTCAACCAGAATCGTCGGCCACACCTCCCAGCAGAGGAACTGAAAAGCCAGAATCCAGAACCTTGCAGCCCTTCTGCTTCTCAAGCTGCTCCTTGGAGGCCATGCAGATCTCCTCTGACCTCATGACTCCATGTGTTTATGGGTGTGAAAGGCTTTGAGGGTGCCTGGGTAAACTTGAAACTTGTATCTTTTCTTTCATGAAACTGGCAGGGGGCGGTGGCAGTGGGGAAATGGCCTGGGGCACACCAGATGCTAATGGCAAACAATACAAAACACACCTGATTATTGCATTAAAATGTGATAAACAACTATATTGATGCGAATGAGGGGGTTTGGAGTGGAGCCCCATAGCCCATCTGTAGACAATTGGATATCCCCCACAGAAGGGTTCTAAGAAAGGGATGATTCAACCAAGGTGCAGTATACCACTGATGAAGCACATCATTCCTCTGTTTCCTGAATGCTTCCTTTCCCCCACTACCATGACCCATTTCTAAACCTTACAAATCTGGCTGGACTGAAGAACACACATTGGTACACATAAGAGCTCTCAACACATGGAATTCCGGACAGATAAACCCCTCAGGAACAGTAGTGGTACTCGAGTAGGGCATGGTCGGGCAGGGGGAAGGAAAAGGGGGAAACCTATCACAAAGCTGGATATATAACATACTCTCAAAGGGGATGAGGAACAGGTGCGTGAAGGGAGACAATGGACAGTGTAAGATATGAAATAACGGTATATAAGTGTTCAAGGATTCATGGCGGGGTGTGGTGGGCGAAGAGGAGCTTTTACCAAGTAGAAAATGTTTTCGAAATGATGATGGCAACATGTACAGATATACTTGATAAAATTGGTGTATGGAGTGTTGTAAGGTGTAAGAGGCCCAAATAAAATTATTTTAAAACACATATATATGATAATCAAATATGTTTGTAATTACTGAGTTGTTCAGTTTTAATCCCATCATTTCTTTTTATTACAATATAGATACCTATAGAGTAGAAATAATGAAACCTCCAAAGATTGCCTGGCAGGAAGATCCTTATTACCAAGACAGCAGCTCAGAAGAGGAAGATACTACTGAAGAAGCAGATCACAGGAAGCCCAGTGTGGGGTAAGTATTTTCTTTCTATGTGAGTATATTTTATAAACTCTGAGTCAGACACACTTTAGAACAGGGTGAGGAATGTCCAGCCCTCAGGCCGTACAATGCCCGAGAAATCACCAATACTAGCTAATACACACCTCACAAAAGAGAAGCAGTTTCATCCATTACTCTAGGAGTGAGTTATTTAACCAAACATAGCAGGCTAATATTTAAGTTGATAATTTTGTATGACCTGCGAATAATGTTATAAATATCCAATTGGCCTTGTCAGAAAAATGATGAATGAGTAAGATTTTGGAAATTTAGAGGTACGTGTACATGGTGAATGTACTGTATTTTTATTTTATGTGCTAAATATTTCTTTGCTAACTGCTTTGAAGATAGTACAGAAGCATCTAAGCTTATCGCCACACGATAGCTTTATCTCCTCTTTAGTGCTATCTTCTTAGTTCCCTTAGGAAGTTCTCTAAGCTTTGGCACACGGGCACTGGTTTCTCCCTGAAATTGGGATAGCACTGTGGGACCAAGGGAATATGATAAGTACAGTGCTAGGGACCTTACAGTGATGATGCTAATCCGATACATGCTTCTTCAATGAACTATCTCCCATCCCTCTTCAAACTCTGGCAACCAGAAGTGGTGGCCACTTTACAGTGATGATGTGCTGTCAGAAACCAGCAGGAGGAAGGTAGAGTTTGTACAAGTCTTGGTCATAAAATCTCAGATATAAAAAAAGAATGTTGAATGGAGAAGGGGTAGGATCTTTTTCACTCAAGAAAATAATGAACAAAATCACAAAATATTTTTCAGGAATAGTCATTTACATTTTCAATGTAAGCATTTTTCTTAAAGATTAAAATTAATCCAACCAATATTTCTTTGCCTGTCTTTGTCTTACCTTCATTTCAGAGAAGTATCAATACCTAAGGAAAAGACCAGGAGATTTTTTTTTTTCTGTAGGAATGATGAACGACTTTATGGTAAGTATTTTCCATTAAATGATACAGTAGAAAATGTATTAGTATAGCCGCTTTTAAAAAATGATTCTTTTTTTTTTTTTTGCCTGTAAATAGCTCCAGGTCTATTTGTTGACCTTTAGGAGTGTTTTTTTTGTTTTGTTTTGTTTTGTTTTGTT